AACCGGGAGTGTCATCCACCACGTAGTTAGTGGCACCCTATGCATGTAGCGCCCAGCATGCATAGTACAACCTGCAGGCTACTGCACATAATACGCAGCCTGCTGCCTGCTGCAGATAGCACCTGGCCCAAATAGTACTCTCTGCTGCATGTAGCACCCACCCATAGCACACACCCCAGGTAGTGCCACCCACCGCACATAGCACCCATCTCATGCAGTGCCACCCACTGCAGATAGCACCCAGCTGATATAGTATCACCTACTGCGCATAGCTTTTGGGGCACATATCACCACCCACTGTTCCCGGCCCACATAGTACCTTCCACCCTCTGCAAATAGCACCTGCTGCACATGGCACCCGGCCCACATAATACTGGCCAGGGCACATACCACCTAGCCGGCATAGCACTGCCCATAGCACCCTGTACACATAGCAACCAGCCTGCAAAGTACCAGCTACTGCACATAGTACTAGTCAGGGCACATAGCACCCTACCTCTACATGGCATCTTAGCTCTCAAGACTCGTGAATGGGAGTCTTCCCACTTCTCCAACCCTCTCCCAGACCCCCATGAACCCCCATCTCTCCCATCAGCGTGCAACATCTCCCATCTCTTTTGCCAGCTCCGCCAGCATCCCCAGGGGGGGCAGCACAGCTGCGACAAATTCCTTTGGGATTAGCAGCAGAGTCTTCCCCTGCTCCCTTTCCCCCACCCTTTCCCCTTCCCCCCCTTCTCCCCCCCTCCTCCCCCTCCCAACACCTTGATGCCTCCCGTCTCTCCTAACAGAAGGCTTTGGTGACGTACGCGTCTTGTTTCTCGCTGGGAATTTGGGAAATGAATCAAATGATGTTTTTTTTTTTTTTTTTTTTTTTTCCCCTTGTACTGCAGGCGAATCGTGACATCAAAGAAGATGCCTTTTGTGACCACCCTATCCTGCATGTACTCGACAAAATATGCAGTCGGATCCTTTTTCTTGTCCTGCAGGTGAATCGTGACGTCAAACGAGTTGCCTTTGGTGACGTACTCAGTCTGGTTCATTGGTGGG